CGCACCTACCCGCACCTCCAGCTATGTTTGGACTTGAGCGCGAGATGCTCACAGGAGCCGTGGTTCGCGTTCCTGTCCCGAGCCCGGTTGTATATGGAATCGACTCTACGAAACTTTCTGCCAAATTTCCTCGAGACGCCACCGGAAGCAGGCCTTGATTGTGTTCTTGAAGGGGTGATAAATCGACACCAAGGCACAGTCGCTTTTTTTTTCACAGCTGTTTCATCCCACGAATCCTCAGCGTAATACCAAACACCTGGTCATGGTTCTGTTACAGTGGATTTCACCACGGGACGTAATCTTATCTGATTTTTCTCAACCACCCTCTCACGTTCACACATGGTTCGGACATCTTCGGACACACTCCTGCACAATATGGATATTGTCATTTGCTGGTCTGCGCAGCCGCGCCCCTGGCTCCCCACTCTCGCGGTTCCGCATCATGCGCGTTTGCTTCGGCCATCAGCAGAACTTCCGACTCCAACTAGCGTCTCAAGCTCAAAAATACATGCGAGCCCTTTTAGCGACCTTTGAACTCCTCGGAAGCGCTTTCTCATTTACCATTTCTGTCGACTCTCGGGGCTCAAGGGAAAGACCCCAGTTATTATTCGCAGGTCACTCGAGCAGTCAATCGGGGGTCCAATCTCTGGGCAGTACACCAAGTATACAGCGCCTAGCGGAAATGTCTCTTATGAATGTCGACCTCGTGGAGTACACCGACACTGTTTCCTTTTCCACGGCTCTCATTGGCGTTCTGCCGTCGCTGAACAAGGATCCCTTTTCGGCCAAAAATGAACAGCACGAAACGTATAAAAGCGACGGCCGCTGGCCCCAATATTTGCGAGCTTCACTCCGCGGCTTAAGCAACAACATGTTCCTCAAAGCTCTTCTCCTCGCTCTCGTCCCCGTCGCCCTGGCGGCCAACTTCAACATTACCGTTGGGGCCAACAACGGGTTGACCTTCACGCCCACCCAGGTTTCGGCTGACATTGGCGACACCCTCACGTTCATCTTGTAAGCTCCGAGGTCGTACACCTACGCCCTATCATTCACGTTTTTTCTTTCAGCGTCTCGAAGAACCGTACGCTCAATATCAACTCACAACTTTACATGATTCCTCACTGCAAATTGACGTAGACACATCCACCACCACGACGTTCTCGGGTGCAGTCTGCCCGCCGCCCGCTGGCGGCGTAGGCCGTCACGGCTGGGACTCTGGATTGTAGGTCCCCCGCCCCTCTCGGAAGACCCGCTCAACGTTCCCAGCCTCCCCGCCACCGCCACCGACACACCCACCTTCGTGTACACCGTTGTCGACTACGAGCCCCACTTTGCTGCGTGCATGCAGGGTGCGGGGTCGCACTGCAGTGAGTCTCATCTGCGCTTCGTACTGCGGTGAAAACGGCTTGACACGTCGCAGGGGCGGGCATGACCTTCGCGCTCAACCCAACGGCGGAACTGACCTACGCGCAATTCAACGCGAACGCGGAGGCATCTTAAGGGAGCGTTAGTATGTAATCCCCCGAATACCGCGCGGGCAACGGCGGCAAAAAAAGGCAATTCGAATAGGCTTTGATTATTTTCTTGTATTTTGGGATGGGAATGATGTGGAATGTGTGGGCGCAAAATAAAATCGATTCTCTGCCTCTGACTTTGATCCTCGCGTTTCTCATGGCCTCAAGTCGCCGACAATCGAGCTGCCCTGCAAATCATGTCGCATTCAAGCGACTCTTGTTGAAAATACGAGAGTCGAGACTGGCGATTCGAGAATTTCGGGAGAGTGAGATGAGCACTATGACTCGTAACGCGCGTGGGTTTGCGGTCCAGAATTCTCTGTCCGACTATCACTGATGTCGGAATCCAATCCCGTGCCTTACTTTCTTTCGTTTCTTTTCTATCACTCACTGACCTGCGTACAAAGCCTGGTAACGGTAAGCTGACGCAGTCGACACGATCACGTTGTGGGTTGAGTTTCAGGCGGCCACGGCCCCGCGGCAGCCCTGCCGAGCTACGGAGTCATCGGAGCGATGGCGGCAGACTGTGCCGAGACCCTTCCGTCGGAGGCTGCCGCGGGGCCGACGCCTTTCGGAACGCATGTGCACCTCCTCCCTCCCCGCGCTCTAACTAATAATCCCAGCTCCAGCTCCAGTTCCAGTTACATTCAGAGTCGGGTGCTGGGAGGGCTCGAGGTCCGCCACCGAATCTTCCTTGGAAGTCACGGTGATTCAGACACTGGCAGCCCGTTCCCATCCCGGTCTCCGAAAAGTTCAGAATCGCGACTCCGAGTCCGACTCGACCAGGGTGGATGGCGGGACGGGTGCTAGTGCGTGCTGGCGGTGGAGATGGGAGGGGGAGGCGATGTACATGTGCGGTGTGAAGAGGACGGGGCCCGGGTTTTGATCATGATCATGACTTCCTTCCCAGGCGGCGCAGAGAAGAGCAGGGCGGTGTCTCAGTCTGAGTGAGGGTTTCCATGGCCAAATTCCGGGCTGAGTGTGTTTGACTTACTTACTTGAGTTTAGCTGAGAGCTCAAGTTCGACTCTTCAATTTCAACCTGCATTGACAGCCGCCAGAACGGACTGGTATGCCCATGGGCAGCCGGTGAAATGTGTTAAATGTAGGGACTCCTGCTGATTTTGTAAAGGGAAGGAGAAACCGTTGGAAGAAAAAAAAGTGACGAGCACATTACGGCCCAGCCCCGAGTCGAACGGGGTGCTTCCTCATATATTCAAAGGCTAAAGACCCCAATTGAAGAGGATGTGTTGGCGGTACACCACTGGGCCTTCTTCCATCTTACCTGGCTTTGGATGTGTTACTTGAGTCAGTCTGTTCAGGTGAGATGGGATTTCAAGTTCGCGAGCGTCTTTCGAGGGCTAAGGAAGTCTGTTATGTAAGAGACTGCAGTGAGGGATTTCGCGTCAGTTTATTGACACACATGGCCAGCCGGTCAAATGCGCTCAGGGTTATGTAGGAACTCGATCTGGCTTTATGGGAGGGAAGGAGAAAAAGTCGGAAAAAAAATGGCATTTCATACTGAAAGACAACGACCCAGCCCCGAGTCGAACGGGGTGCTTCCTCATATATTCAGTTTTCTTGAAGCATAAATTGAAGAGGATGTGTTGGCAGTACACCACTGGGCCTTCTTCCCTCTTGCTCGGTGTTGGATGTGCAGCCTAGGTTAGTGTGTTCAAGTGAGATGGGACTTCAAGTTAGCTAGCATCTTTCGAGGGCTTTAAGAGACTGAGGGATTTCGCGTCAGTTTATTGACACTTATAGCCAGCCAGTAAAATGTGCAAAGTACGGTTTATGTAGGGACTCATGCTGATTTTGTAAAGGGAAGGAGAAGACGTTGAAGAAAAAAATGGTGTTTCATCCAAGAGAATCACGGCCCAGCCCCGAATCGAACGGGGTGCTTCCTCATACATTTAAACACAAAGACGGGAATTGAAGAGGATGTGTTGGTGGTACACCACTGGGCCTTCTTCTTTCTTGCTTGGCGTTGGATGTGTGACCTGGGTTAGTGCGTTCAAGTGAGATGGGATTTCAAGTTAGCGAGCGTCTTTCGAGGGCTTTAAGAGACTGAGGGATTTTGCATCAGTTTATTGACACCCATGGCCAGCCGGTAAAATGTGCTCAGGCTTATTTATGTAGGGATTCATGCTGATTTTGTAAAGGGAAGGAGAAAACGTTAGAGAAAAAAACAGCCGTGAAGAAACACGGCCCAGCCCCAAGTCGAACGGGGTGCTTCCTCTGACTATCGACTCAACACACACACAAATTGAAGAGGATGTGCTGGTGGTACACCACTGGGCCTTGTTTCCTCTTGCTCGGCGTTGGATGTGTAACCTAAGTTAAGTGAGAACAGTTTCGATGGGATTTCAAGTTAATTCAAGAAGCACCCCATTGAGTTCTTTCAAGGGCAACGGTATGAGGAAAGAGCGAGCGAGGGAATAGTGAAAGAGCGAGGGAGGGAGTAGTAGTCTGTTACATGATCATTGATAAGAGACTGAGGGATTTCGCGTCAGTTTATTGACACCCATGGCCAACCAGTAAAATGCTCTCAGTAAGATTTATGTAGGGATTCATGCTGATTTTGTAAAGGGAAGGAGAAAACATTGGAGGAAAAAAATGGTGTAGAAAGAAAGAGATATGGTCCAGCCCCGAGTCGAACGGGGTGCTTCCTCATACATTCATCATGGACCTAAATTGAAGAGGATGTGTTGGCAGGACACCACTGGGCCTTCTTCCCTTTGCCTGGCGTTGGGTATGTAACCTAGGTTAGTGTGTGCAAGTGAGATGGGATTTCAAGTTCGCGACATCTTCCGAGGGCTAGCCTAAGGAAGTCTGTTGAGAGACTGAGGGATTTTGCATCACCCATGGCCAACCAGTGAAATGTGCGAAGTAAGGTTTATAATAATGTAGGGACTCATGCTGATTTTGTGTAAGGGAAGAAGAAACTGTTAGAGAAAAAAAAAATCGGTATTCCTAGTGGACAATGGCCCAGCCCCAAGTCGAACGGGGTGCTTCCTCAAATTGTGAATTGGGAGAGGATGTGTTGGTGGTACACCACTGGGATTTCTTCCCTCTTGCTTGGCGTTGGATATGTAACCTAGGTTAGTGTGTTCAAGTGAGATGGGATTTCAAGTTAGTGCCCCATCTCGCTCTTTCGAGGGCCAATTGGTACGAGGAACGATTGGCAGCGGGGCCTGGGTTTTGATCATAGTCATGACTTCCTTCGCAGGCGGCGTAGAGCAGAGCAGGGCGGTGTCTCCGTCTGAGGGTTTCCATGGCCAAATTCCGGGCTGAGTGTGTTTGACTTGCTTGAGTTTAGCTGAGAGCTCAAGTTCGACTAAATTTCAACCCTCCTCCTGTGCACATTGGCGGCTGCCGAGAACAGACTGATATACCCATGCATATGGCCAGTTAAATGCGCTCAGGGTTATGTACTTAAAGGAAGGAGACACCGTTGGAGAAAAAAAAAATCGGTCCTAGCCAACAAGGGCCCAGCCCCGAGTCGAACGGGGTGCTTCCTCATATATTCAGTTTCAATTAGGTGCCCTAAATTGAAAGAGGATATGTTGGCGGTACACCACTGGGCCAGTTCTCTAATCCTTACTCGGTGTTGGATGTGTAACCTAGGTTAGTGTGTTCAAGTGAGATGGGATTTCGAGTTCGTGAGCGTCTTTCGAGGGCTAGCCTCAGGAAGTCTGTTAAGAAACTGAGGGATTTTGCATCACCCATGGCCAGCCAGTAAGTAAGATGTTTTAAGTAAGGCTTATGTGGGGATTCATGCTGGCTTTATGTGAGGGAAGGAGAAAAAGTTTGAAAAGGTGGAGGGAAAAAATGGGTCTTGGAGATAATAACAGCCCAGCCCCGAATCGAACGGGGTGCTTCCTCATATATTTAAACACAAAGACAGGAATTGAAGAGTGTGTGTTGGCAGGACACCACTGGGCCTTCTTCCTCTTGCTTGGCGTTGGATGTGTAACCTATAAATGAGGATGGTTTCGATGGGATTTCTTTCGAGGGTTAAGGAAGTCTGGGGATTTCGTGTCAGTTTATTCACACATGGCCAGCCGGTAAAATGCGCTCAGGGTTATGTAGGAACTCGAGCTGGCTTTATGCAACGGAAGGAGAAAACATTGGAGAAAAAAAAAGAGGGGTTTCATCGAAGAGAATCACGGCCCAGCCCCGAGTTGAACGGGGTGCTTCCTCAGATTGTTCCATTTTTCGACCCAAATTGAAGAGGATGTGTTTGCAGTACACCACTGGGCCTTCTCCCCTCTTGCTCAGCTTTAGATGTGTAACCTAAGGGAAGGAGAAAACATTGGAGAAAAAAAATGGGGTATGGAGGATAATGGCCCAGCCCCGAGTCAAACGGGTGCTTCCTCATATATTCAAACATAAGGATGTGAATCGAAGAGGATGTGTTGGCGGTACACCACTGGGCCTTCTTCCCTCTTGCTTGGCGTTGGATGTGTAACCTAAGTTAAGTGAGAACGGTTTCGATGGGATTTCAAGTTAACTTAGTGATCTCTTTCGAGGGCCAAAATTGAAGAGAACGGACTGATACACCCATGGTCAGTTAAATGTGCTAAGGGTTATGTACTTAGGTCCATAAGGGAAGGGGGAAACTGTTGGAGAGAAAAAAATGGTGTTTCATCCAAGAGAATCACGGCCCAGCCCCGAGTCAAACGGGGTGCTTCCTCAGACTATCCATTTTGACAATCCTAATTGAAGAGGATGTATTAGCAGTACACCACTGGGCCTTCTTCACTCTTGCTTGGCGTTGGATGTGTAACCGTTGTAAGAACGGTTTCGATGCCATTTCAGAGGGCTAAGGAAGTCTGTGAGGGATTTCGTGTCAGTTTATTGACACACAGGGCCAGCTAGTAAAATGCGCTCAGGCTTATTTATGTAGAGACTCATGCTGATTTTTGCAAAGGGAAGGAGAAAACATTGGAGAAAAAAAAAGGTGTCGGACTTCATTATGGCCCAGCCCCGAGTTGAACGGGGTGCTTCCTCAGACTGTTCTGCTGTCACACCCAAATTGAAGAGGATGTGCTGGCGGTACACCACTAGGCCTTCTTCCTTCTTGCTCAGTGTTGGATGTGTAACATAAGTTAAGTGAGAACGGTTTCGATGGGTCAAAATTCAAGTCAACTTGAAGCATGAGAAAAGCGTGAGCGAGAGAGTAGTAGTCTGTTAAGAGACTGAGGGATTTCGCGTCACTTTACTGACACCCATGGCCAGCCAGTAGAATGTGCAAAGTAAGGTTTATGTGGGGATTCATGCTCGCTTTACGCCAGTGTAAGGGAAGGAGGAAACGTTGGGTGAAAAAAAGTGGACGTAAGACCATGCACATGGCCCAGCCCCGAGTCGAACGGGTGCTTCCTCATATATTCAAAATAGAAAAATGCGAATTTAGAGAGGATGTGTTGGCAGTACACCACTGGGCCTCTTCTGTCTTGCTTGGCGTTGGATATGACGACCCATGCGGGCTGAGGAGTATGTTTGACTTACTTGAGTTTAGCTCAAGTTCGACTCTTCAATTTCAACCCGCATGATTGACAGCCGCTGAGAACGGACTGTTACACCCGTGGCTAGTAAATGTGCTAAGGGTTATGTACCTGAAGGTCTGTAAGGGAAGGAGAAAAAAGTTGGACTTGGCCAAAAAAATAGGCACCCCCAGCCTTAATTACAGCCCAGCCCCGAGTCGAACGGGGTACTTCCTCATAGTATCCTGTTGCGTAGATCCCAATTGAAGACGATGTGTTGGCGGTACACCACTGGGCCTTCTTCCCTCTTGCTTGGCGTTGGATATAACGGCCCATGTGGGCTGTGTGTGTTTGACTTACTTGAGTTTAGCACTGGCACAAGTTCGACTAAGTTTCAACTCTGAGGGCCGTGCACATTGTCAGCCGTCGAGAACAGACTGCTATACTCATGGGCGGTAAGATGTGATAAGGGTTATATGCTTCAAGGAAGGAGAAAACGTCGGAGAAAATAATAATCGGTATTCCTAGAAGACGATGGCCCAGCCCCGAGTCGAACGGGGTGCTTCCTCATAGTATCCTGTTCCGTAGATCCCAATCGAAGAGGATGTGTTGGCGGTACACCACTGGGCCTTGTCCCCTCTTGCTTGGCGTTGGATATGACGGCCCATGTGGGCTCAGGAGTATGTTTGACTTACTTGAGTTTAGCTCAAGTTCAACTCTTTAATTTCAACCCGCATTGACAGTCGCCAGAACAGACTGATACACCCATGGCCAGTTAAATGCGCTCAGGGTTATGTAGTTAAAGGAAGGAGAAAATGTTGGAGAAAAAAAATGCGCAGGACTGTATTATGGCCCAGCCCCGAGTCGAACGGGGTGCTTCCTCCAACTATCCGTTTTGACAATCCTAATTGAAGAGGATGTGTTGGCAGTACACCATTGGGCCTTGTTCCCTCTTGCTCGGCTTTGGATGTGTAACCTATAAATGAGAATGGTTTTGATGGGTCAAAATTCAAGTCAACTGGCTTACTCAAGTTCGAGTCAAGTTTAATTCAAGTTTCAACCCTGAGGGCCGTGCATATTGGCGGCCGCCGAGAACAGGCTGGTACACCGATGGCTAGTAAAGTGTGCTAAGGGTTATGTACTTAAAGGTCTGTAAGGGAAGGAGAAAAAGTTGGACTCGGCCAAAAAAATAGGCACCCCCAGCCTTAATTACGGCCCAGCCCCGAGTTGAACGGGGTGCTTCCTCATATATTCCAAACCGAAAAGTGCGAATTTGGAGAGGATGTGTTGGTGGTACACCACTGGGCCTTGTTCCCCCTTGCTTGCTTTGAATATGTAACCGTTGTAAGAACAGTTTTGATGAGATTTCAAGTTGACGCCGCAGCTCGCTCTTTCGAGGGCCAAAATTGAAGAGAACGGACTGCTACACCCATGGCCGGTAAAATGTGCTAAGGGTCAGGTACTTAAGGTCTGTAAGGGAAGGAGAAACCATTGGAAAAAAAAAAAGGGACGAGCACATTATGGCCCAGTCCCGAGTTGAACAGGGTGCTTCCTCATATATTCACTTCACAAGTAGGCGAATTGAAGAAAATATGTTAGCAGTACACCACTGGGCCTTCTTACATTTTGCTTGGCGTTGGATGTGTAACCGTTGTAAGAACGGTTTCGATGGGATTTCAGAGGGCTAAGGAAGTCTGGGGATTTCACATCAGTTTATTGACACACAGGGCCAACCAGCGAAATGTGCTCAGGCTTATTTATGTAGGGATTCATGCCGACTTGATTCAATGGAAGGAGAAACCGTCGAGGAAAAAAATGGGGTTTCATAGAAAATAATGGCCCAGCCCCGAGTCGAACGGGGTGCTTCCTCATATATTCAAAGCCTTAAGATCCCAATCGAAGAGGATGTGTTTGCAGTACACCACTGGGCCTTCTTCCCTTTGCTCAGTGTTGGATGTATAACCTGAGTCAGTCTAATCAAGGGAGAACAGTTTCAATGGGTCAAAATTCAAGTCATGAGAAAAGAGCGAGCGAGGGAGTAGGAGTCTGTTAAGAGACTGAGGGATTTTGCATCAGTTTATTGGCACACATGGCCAGCCGGTAAAATGCGCTCAAGGTTTTGTAGGAACTCGAGCTGGCTTTATGCAACGGAAGGAGAAAAAGTTTGAAAAGGTGGAGGGAAAAAATGGTATTGAAGATAATAACGGCCCAGCCCCGAGTCGAACAGGGTACTTCCTCATAGTATCCTGTTCTGTAGATCCCAATTGAAGAGGATGTGTTGGCAGTACACCACTGGGCTTTCTTCCCTCTTGCTCGGTGTTGGATGTGTAACCGTTGTAAGAACGGTTTCGATGGGATTTCAAGTGAGCGCCCTAGTCAGTTCTTTCGAGGGCCAAAATTGAAGAGAACGGACTGCTATACTCATGGCCGGTAAAATGTGCTAAGGGTTATGTACTTAAGGTCTGTAAGGGAAGGAGAAAAAGTTGGACTCGGCCAAAAAAATAGGCACCCCCAGCCTTAATCATGGCCCAGCCCCGAGTCGAACGGGGTGCTTCCTCATATATTCAAAACTGAGAAATGCGAATTTGGAGAGGATGTGTTGGCAGTACACCACTGGGCCTTCTTCTTTCTTGCTCGGTGTTGGATGTGTAGCCTAGGTTAGTGTGTTCAGGTGAGATGGGATTTCAAGTTCGACTCTTCAAGTCAAGTTCAAGTCAAGTTCAATTCAAGTTTCAACCCTGAGGGTCGTGCACATTGGCGGCTGCCGAGAACAGACTGCTACATGGCTAGTAAGGGTTATGTACTTAAAGGTCTGTAAGGGAAGGAGAAAACGTTGGACCAAAAAAAAAGGGACGAGCACATTACGGCCCAGCCCCGAGTCGAATGGGTGCTTCCTCATATATTCAAAATAGAAAAATGCGAATTTAGAGAGGATGTGTTGGCAGTACACCACTGGGCCATCTTCCTTCTTGCTTGGCATTGGATATAACGGCCCATGTGGGCTGAGTATGTTTGACTTGCTTGAGTTTAGCTCAAGTTTGACTCTTTAATTTCAACCAGCATGATTGACAGCCGCTGAGAACAGGCGGGTACACCCATGGCTAGTAAAATGTGCTAAGGGTTATGTACTTAAGGTCTGTAAGGGAAGGAGAAAAAGTTGGACTCGGCCAAAAAAATAGGCACCCCCAGCCTTAATCATGGCCCAGCCCCGAGTCGAACAGGGTGCTTCCTCATATATTCAAAGCGGAGAAGTGCGAATTTGGAGAGGATGTGTTAGCGGTGGACCACTGGGCCTTCTTCCCTCTTGCTTGGCGTTGGATGTGTAGTCTGTTCAAGTGAGAACAGTTTTGATGGGTCAAAATTCAAGTCATGAGGAAAGAGTGAGTGAGGGAGTAGTAGTCTGTTAAGAGACTGAGGGATCGTCAGTTTACTCACACCCGTGGCCAGCCAGAGAAATGTGCCAAGTAAGGTTTATGCAGGGATTCATGTTGGCTTTATGGGTGGCAAGGGGGAAACGTTGGAGGGAAAAAAAATGGAGTATTAGAGAAGAGCATGGCCCAGCCCCGAGTCGAACGGGGTGCTTCCTCATATATTCAGTTTCGAATGCCCGCCACAATTGGAGAGGATGTGTTAGCAGTACACCACTGGGCCTTCTTACACCTTGCTCAGTGTTGGATATGTGATATGTGACCTAGGTCAGTCAGTTCATGGGGTCCACAAGCAAAGACGCAGCAGGTGAAGTAGTTAAAGTCCACTATTTACATGTATTTAATCCGCCCGCCGCCCGTCAACACGTCAACGTCGCCCTCCCGCTCTTCTTCTTCTTCTTCGCCGCTCGCTCGCTCCTCTCCTGCTCTATACTCTACTCTCCTCGACTTTACTGAGAAGCCAAGAAAGAAAGAAAGAAAAGAAAATGTCGGACCTCTGCCCCGTCTACGCCCCGTTCTTCAGCGTCATGGTCAGTGTTCCCGATTAAATATACGAACGACCGAATGAACTCGTGTGTACGCAGGGCTGCACCAGCGCTATCGTCTTTACCTGTGCGTCTCCCCTTCCCCTCTCCTCTCCTCATGCACGCATAATATGCTGACCGCGCCGCAGGCATAGGAGCAAGGTCCCCCTCCCATTTGCTTGGCTGCGAGTTGTGCTTGTGCTGACGAGGATGTGCAGCTACGGCACGGCCAAGTCCGGGGTCGGTATCGCGGCGATGTCGGTGCTGCGCCCGGACCAGATGATGAAGTGTGTCGTGCCCGTCATCATGGCGGGTATCATCGCTGTCAGTCTCTCTTGCTCTCCTTTCTGTGCTCGGGATGCAGGGAGCGCCCGACGCCCGACCCGGACGTGACTGACAGCCATCCATCCATTGTAGATCTACGGCCTCGTCGTCTCGGTCCTCATTGTCACTGACTGTGCGTCCCCTCCCTCCTTCCCCTCTTCTTCGTGTCCTGACGGGTGCTTTTCTTTTCTTTCTTTTCATACTCCGGTAATGCTCTTGCGTCCCTGCGATAACTCCATCCTCCTACGTCCGTTCGCGCGCGCGCTACTGACCGGCCGCCCTTGCTCTATTCGACTGATGTGCTGGCTTCCCTTTCTTGCGTCTTATGTCCGCCCGCTATCTCGCCTTACCCGCCTATCCGTTCCTCCCCCCTCCGCTCCTGCGTCTCCCCCTCCCGTCCCGCGCTACCACCTCTCATCCTCCACTTGCCGCCGCCCCTCGTCTCTTTTAATCCCATACCCCCTCCCTCCCTTCTCTCACCCGTCTCCGACCTTACTATACCTTCCCCTGACCTTCCCTTCCTTCCTACCCACGTACCCTCCCCTCCCTCTTACCCCCTTCCCGCCCGCTCGCTCGCGTCCCTCCCTCTTTGCCCTTCATCCCCTCCTTTACTCCCCCGCTCCCTTCATCCCCCTCCTTTCCTCACCTACCCTCCTCCGCTCTCCTTAACCTCTCCCCTCCCTTGCCCCTCGCTCTCATCCCTTCCTTCCACCACCCACCAATTCCCTCTCCCTCCCTTCTCCCTCCCTTAATCCTCCCTGCCCCCCCCCCCAAAAAAAAAAAAAAAACACAGTATCCGTCCAAATGTCCCTCGCCCAATCCTTCGTCCAGCTCGGCGCGGGCCTCTCCGTCGGCCTCGCCGGCCTCGCCGCGGGCTTCGCAATCGGCATCGTCGGCGACGCGGGCGTACGGGGCACCGCGCAGCAGCCGCGGTTGTTTGTCGGGATGGTGAGTTGGCTTTTTTTTTTTGGGGGGGGGGGGTTTAGGGGGGGGTGGGGTTTTTGCGAGTTTTGTGTTTTTTTTTTTTGGGGGGGGGGGTGAGGAGGGGAGTTGGGCGCGGGGTGCTTTCGCACGATCAGTTCAGTCATCGTGGTTCCGGAGGGCGCGGCGTTGTCGGCTGCGTGGTTGCGGTGGCGGTCGTGGTCATGGTTCTGGGAACTCGGGCGCGACGAGCGCTTTTGGTTTTTGGGCGACGCATGGGGACTGGGGACTGGGCAGGGGACGGGGACGGGGACGGGGACGGGCTCCGCGTGGTGCCAGAGGAGAGGCGGCGCGGGGGTGTCGACGCCCAGACGAATGTCGAGCGCGGGCCAAGGGGATGGCGCGTGGTGCTAATGCGAGGTGCGGGAGAGGTTGTGGTGCGCGTGGACGTCGTGGTGCGCGGCGGCGCGGCGGCGCGGGTGCGAGTGGTGCTGGTGCCCTTGCCCTTCTTTCTGGAGGTGGTGTCGTTATCGTTATCGTTATCGGCGTGTTGCCCATATGCGGGGTTGGGCTGGGGCGCAGGGGGATGCGGAGGCGCGGGCTGTCGTGCGCGTGCGTGTGCGTGCGCGTGGTCTGGTGTTGGTGTTGTCGTCGTCGTCGTCGTCGTTGGGCACATGGGACATTTCAGGCTCTCGGCTCTCGGTGCGGGGAAGCTCTACGCAGTGTTCGTTCGTTCGACGGGGCGCGTGGTTTCCACGGCGGGTATGGGTTTGGGATGGGCGCCGCCGTCCTTATCCTGGCGCCGTGGTGGGGCGGGGCGGCGTGTACCTGCTTACCAGCCGGAGAGAGGTGGAGATGCAGAGTCGTCTCGGCTGGGATGGCGTTGGGGGAGGGGCTAGCGCGGTGCTGATGTGGGAGCTGGTTCGATCCGGGGCGGGGCGGGGTCTGCGCGCAGAGGGCCTGGCTTCCTTCCTTTTCTTATATTCTGTTCTCCTTCTCGTTTTCCTGTCCCTCCTCAACCTCTTACTAACTCACCCCCCTTCTCCTATCTTCTAGATCCTCATCCTCATCTTCGCGGAGGTGCTCGGGCTGTACGGGCTCATCGTCGCGCTCATCATGAACACGAAGAGCCAGGAGCTGGGCGGGGTGGTGGGTCTTTCTTGTTCTCTCTTTTTTTTGTGTTTTTTTTTTCGTTCTTTTTTGCTTCCCCCCCCCCCCCCCCCCCCCCCCGCTTTTTTTGTGGGAGTGCGGGACGAGTTGTGTGCCGCTGCGTCCCTACAACCTTTCTTCACATTCTCGCCGCGCTCTCCACCCGGCGCTACGCGCCATCCCCTTTTCGTTGTGTACAGTACGCGCCATCCCTTCCTTCCTTCCTCTGTTCTCCGTCTACCGTCCTCCGTCCACCTTCCCATTCCATCGTCCGCATGCCCCGCCCATTCCTGTTCCCGTTCCTATTCCCTTCCCGTTCCCGTTCCCTCTCCGCCCCTCCTTACTTTCCCCGCCGTTCCATCGTCCGCACGCCCCCGCCGACACCTTCACCGTCCCCCCTTTGCATTTCCCCACAATGTCTCTCGTCATATTTCCCCACAATACCGCTGCTCCTTTCTTTGCCGCCCCGTCTGTCTTTACTCGATCGGCCTTCCGCCATCCTCCGTCCTCCCTCCCTTCCGTCGGTCCGCATCGCTCACTTTCCATCCTTGGCTGTTCCCGCCTTGCGCCCCTCCCCTTGGTTCCGTGATCGCTGTCCTTCCGTACTCGCCTGCTGCGCATTCGTCGATCTTCCCTGCCGTTTCCCCCTCCCTTTGTTATATGTATACGCGCGTTCCCGCTGGCCTTACCTTCCGCGTCACCTCACTCCCTTCTGTTCCTTTGACGATGCATCGTTTCCTGTCCCGTATTCTATCGCTACCTTCCCCGTGCCCTGCCTGTCCCATTGCCCATTACCTGCCTACTCATTTGCTACGCCCTCCATCTCCCTTTCTCGTCTCTGCACTCCGCAAACCCCTACTCACATCCCTCCCTCCCCTTCCAGTGTCTCTAATGCTAAACGCGCCCGCCCGCCCTTGCGCGACCGGAGCCTCCCGACTCCGCACCCACCCACCCGTTCGGCGGCCGCCAGTTATTATTCGCTCATCCATACCTACATACATACATACACCATACGTACGCGGCCAGAACGGCGAGGACCCGTTACCCATAGCTCTCTCTTTTTTTCTTCTGAATGATGATGATGATGTTTAATACAGTAGTCGAGGTGGTGAATGATGGTATTTCGTTTCTCAGTTCTGGGGTTTTGCGAGAGTTATGCTATGCGCAAGTGACGTATACGTGCGGGGGCATCTGCGCTTGGATTTTGCAGACTCGAATGCGGTCGAACTGCGCAACCCAGGCGAATTCCAGGAGAGTCGAGTGAGAGTTGTGATATCAGATATGATGCGCATGCGGCGCGTGCGGGCGCCAGGGTTTCTGAGATTGGCGTCTTGCTTCAGTGCTTGGATCCGTGGATCCGTAGATTCGGGACGGGCGGCTCCGACCCGTGCCAGCCCGAGCTCGCGAATCGCGAATCGCGAATCTTCAATCGGGGATCATCGCCCTACATTATCGCGAATCGGGGACCGCCCTACATACATAATCTGGATCGTCGCCACCGCTTAGCCTCGCCATTTATTTGAGCTTAGCGGTTTTGAATTTGACGCGACTCAAAAAAATACGCGGTACCCCTATTGGGATAGTGCTACCAGTACCAAGGCTACGGACCGACAGTCATGGCAATGGCAAAGTCGCCCGATTCCCGATGCCCCCAGCCCGAGCCAGTGGCCACAGGGCCCCGCAAAACGTGGGCAAATCGATATCATCATTGCATCATTACATATGGTGGAAGCGAATTTGCCCGACGGGGGGATTTGCGTCGTGCGACTCGGCGAGGACTCATGATTTAAATTTGCGTGGGATTTGTGGTAAGACTCGGGATAATAATTTAAAGTTGTTGAAGGTAGGTCGGACCGTGCCGAGTTCGACAGTGGGATGGGGATGGGGATGGGTGGAACGCGGGGAGGGAGATCCGGGGTTTGAGTCATGCGGCGACGTGCGAGATGCAGAATGCATATGCAGGAGCCCGGGCCGCCGCAGGGTTGCGGGGTTGCCCTGAGTGAGGTGTGTTATTGCAAAAGAAAAATGGGGTGGGGTGCGGTGCGGTGTGCGAGTGCGACTCGCGCGCGCGAAATAAATTAATAGGAATATCGCCGCCCTTTTTTAATAAATTCTTCCTTCGGACTTGGAGGGTCCACCGCAGGGTTGCGGGGGTGCCCTGATGTGTTATTACATAGAAAAAAATGCGGTGTGGTGTCGTGAAATTAATAGGAATACCAGCCTCGTTTGTCCTTCGCTCTAAAGCGGCTTTGAGCAGAGTCGCGATCGCACCGGGGTTGAACATTCAGCGTCGGGCGGATATGAA